CACCTCCCCGTGGCAGCACAAATACGCCCCATGAGGCACTGGCAGCTCCCCCCTCCCCCCCCCCCTCCCCCGCCATACGACAAACATGCACTCGAACGCGCAGTACGCTACCACCACCCTAAGGCACAAGAAATGAAAGAGTGGGTCGCTGCCCAGCTCCAGCAGCTGGCCTCTCCAGACATGAATTTAGCCAATGAAATCCTCATACAGGCTTCAGAGAGATACTTCCCGCGCGCTCCAAAACCTTCAGCTCCTCCGCTGAATGCCATGCACAGAGCGACTCAAAGAATGTGGTCACGTCTGACTGCGCTGGATGAAGACCTAAGAAGTCACTCCCTGACGCAGGCAGACCACGAGGTGTTGGTCAATGACCTGGCGACTTGGCATAAGCAGGCAGTATCATTGGCAAAGAAGCAAAGAGTAGCCGACTTCACAAAGGAGGTGGATCACTCAGCCAATACGGGAGATTCCTACTTGAGCCACAAAACCCTGAAAGCTCTCCGACCCTGGCAACCGCAGCCGAAAACACAGCTGGTGAACCAGGACGGATACTTGATGGCAGCCGAGGAGGAACTCCTGCTAATGAAAGATCATGCTAAGGCAGTGTTCCAGAGGCATAACAGGTTAGATGTGCTGGTGAATACACTGCCACAGCTGCAGGCTCCAGCATTGGCCAAGCACATCGGCTCCATACGGCCGCACAAAGCAGTACCCGAAGGTTCAGCTTCGGCAGCAGCGTGGAAACTGTGCTCAGCCTCGACAGGAGACGTGCTCCAGCAATACTGCCAGGCACAGAGCCTCAAAGCTGAGCACTGCTCAGTGGATTCATCAGTGACACTTTCAGCACCGCTGAAAGATACTGACCTTTGCTTTATTCCCAAGCCGAATAAGCCACCAAACAAGCCCACTAACCTTCGCCCACTAGGCATTATACGACCAGATGGCAAAGGATTGGCAGGAGCATGCAGGGATCTGCTAGCTCCCTACACGTCCAGCTACCTCAAGCCAGTGCCTCAGTTTGCCTATCAGCCTAGGAGAGGGCTGTCGGATGCCCTGTCCAGAGTCTCGCAACACACGCGCGAAGTCAGGCATGCCTGCGCACAAGCCAGACTCAGCAGACACAGCCAGCGTGCAGGCCATGCCAAGCCAGAGCTAGTAGGGGGCATTTGCTTTGCGCTGGACCTTTCTCAAGCATTCGACATGGTGCGACGACAGGACCTCATGGACACCCTGCAGGAGGCCAACGTCCCAATCGCGGTGCAGAACTTAGTAGCGTCTCTGCACACAGACAGTCGCTATAAAGTCAGATCACAGCAACGGACATGTGAAGTAGAATCGACTACAGGAATAAAACAAGGATGCAAGCTCGCCCCCACTCTCTTCTCGATGCTCACAGGCAAGCTCTTTAAGGAACTATCGACAGTTGTGGGCAAAGAAAGGATGCAGCAATCTCTCACAGGCTATGCAGATGACATGACGATCCATCACAACATCAGTAATTGGGAAGACCTGCTAAAGGCTCACCAAATGATAGCAGAGTTGCTCCGCATTGTTCGAAAGTACGGCTTTAAGGTGAACCCAGAGAAGTGCCACTTGATGGTAAAACTCTTAGGTACTGCCTCCTCCAGAGCACACAAACTCTTCAGCCGAGTCCACAAGGATGCACAAGGCAACAAGCATCGGTTATGGAGAATAGGTAGCACGAAAGCCCAGGAGTCATTCCCACAATCTAACTCTTTTAAGTACCTGGGTGCGTACGTCTCTTACGGCAATCAGGAAAAACTGAGCCTCGCACATCGCCTGCAAGAAGGCAACGCCAAACTTCAACAAGTTCGCAGATATGTTCACAACAGGAGACACTCGGGGCCAAAGAGCAGACTCAAGATTTGGTTTTCCACAGTCTGGGCCACTGTCTCAGCAGGTCTCGTAGACATAGGCCTTACGGCAGACACTGCTAAACAGCTGCGAGGATGGTTTGCCAGAAAAATTAGGGCAGTCCTGAACAGACCGGTACATCTCACAGGAACATCCACAGAGCGCCTATACGAGGAGTTCTCGCTCAAAGACCCCGTGCAGATCCTGCGAGACAGACAAGCGAACCGAGTCACATCCCTACAAGGACGGATTTGGCAGGCAGGGCAATCCCAGTCTGCACTGCGGAAGGAAGCGACTGAGTCACTGACTCACAAAGACACGTCGTCCGGGATTCAGACGTGTCATTAACAGCCCAGGCACTTCAGTATGCTGAAATGGTGCTGCATGAATATGATGCACTGCTGACTGCGTCGCATGCAACGGCAGAAGAACCGACTCACAAATGCCGGTTATGCTCCTTCAGCTCTAACTCAGAGCAAGGCCTAAAGATACACGAGGTCAAAAAGCACCGAGAGCAGCTAGACAGATATGTGCCCAAATCATTCCTACCAGAACACTCCAAAAACGGCCTCCCAACCTGTGCAGCGTGCTCAAAAGAATTTGCACTGTGGAAAGGCCTTAAAGA